CAGAATAGTAGATTTAGAGTGCCCCAATGTAATTTATTAGGTAGAGAGACAAATCAATGTGTAACAGTTCTACTAATGGGATGCAAGTATCAAATTGTAGTCTAATGAAACAAAAAATAATGGAAACTCATATCTTCTTAGAATGCCCTTCATGCAGTCTAGATGATATCAAGGGCCTTTCTAGCAAATAGCAAACAATATTAAAATATCTGATTCCCAATTATCGAAAGCTTATGTCCATAATATCAATCACCAGGCAGATACTGTGAAATATTTCCATATACCAATGTATTACAGTTCCATTTTGAGATGGCACTTGAAGGCTTTGAAAGCAGATAATTCAGGTTAAATTTAGGTTAATCAACATCACACCTAGAAGCATCTCTTGTTGTGAGCTTGCAATCTTCTGCCTCTCCCTTGGAGATGAGATCAAAAGATTCATAAACCCTCCTGCTGCTGCGGAATTTTTTACAGGCTTTGTGTTTATCTGATGAGCAATAGCTCTGTTTCTCTTATGTTGTTCTCTTCAACAGCAGGAGGAAAGAAAGGTGGTGCCAGGGCATGTTTCTACTGTGCTTAGGTCCAAGCAAAAAACATGACCCCAGAGAGGTCATTGGATTTTGTCTGAAAGCACCTCTAGATACATCTGCAGACACACAAAGAAGGAGGGTGTTTTGTTAGCTTTTAAGGAATCCTGAACTGAACACGCTTGGAGAGCAGGGATGAAAATACATTAACGGAGTGCTCAGATACTACAGAGAACAGGATATATATATATATATATTTCCCACTTGAACTCATGTTGTACAGCTACTTGTTTTCAAGCTCTGAAGTGGCAACTCTTTATTTTCCAGTGTGCTGATCCTTGGCAGCTTTGGAAAAATGAATTTTTCTAAGTTCATTCCCTAAACCCACTGTTGGATTCGTTTCCTACTGCTCCTGTTTCATACACAGATACTTTGAATGCCAGAGAAAGGATGGACAAGCAAAAGCAAAGGATGAATATTCTGCCATGCTCCATTAGTTCACTAAGAAATGGAACAGAAGAGATAATCCTATGTGTCAGGGTTCCAACAAATCCACCCCCATTCAAATCATATATCTCCAGCGGCATCTCTCAGAGACAAAAAATAATAATGATTTATTAGAAGTGGCCATGTTGGCATTAGCCGACACTAAATACATCATTCATTTTCCCCTTGACCCTGGTCTTCCCCCATTCCCTGGATGTATAATCTCCAATGGGACACATCCATAGCCAAGAGTCATCAATCATGCTCTCCAGTAATATTCTTGCGCCCCCACAAATTTGGGCTGCCAGGGTGATCATCTGAGGCACTTGAGGAATGCACTGTTTTCACTTTCTGCTGGCAGCTAAAAAGACCAAAGGAGTATCTTTTTAGTTGATAGTTTAACTATACATAGAATCTCCTGCTTGAGCAAGGTGTTGGGCTAGAAGCCTTCCAAGGTTCCTTCCAACTCTGTTATCCTGTTATATCCCCAGGATCCCTTTCAACCCTATTATTCTATGTTCAAGGACCTCTAACCTATTTTATTACATTTCCAGTGACTTTCTTCAGGTTACTATTATGTATTTTCTTAGCCTGGAAAATGGTCTTCTTCTTTTTTTCAAACCCAGTTTGTAAATGCTTCCAATTCAGAATGGCTATGCCTCTGGTGTTTCTGGCTTTAACTAGTGTGCACGTGACATTGTATTATTTATTTTATGAGAAATCAAATCATTCGCTAACATAATTTTTATGTCTGGGTAGATCAAGGCCAGTTCAAGCGATTCAATTCCAGATATTAGAATAGAATAGGATGACAGAGTTGGAAGGGACCTTGGAGGTCTTCTTGTCCAACCCCCTGTCCAGGCAGGAAACCCTACACCGCTTCAGACAAATGGTTATCCAACATCTTTTAAAAAACTTCCAATGTTGGCGCATTCACAACTTCTGGAGGCAAGTTTAATTGATTAATTGTTCCAACTGCCAGGAAACTTCTCCTTAGTTCTAGGTTGCTTCTCTCTTTGATTAGTTTCTACCTACTGCTTCTTGTCATGCTTTCAGATGCTTTGGAGAATAACTTGTCTCCCTTTTCTTTGTGGCAGCCCATGAGAATTCAGAATACTGCTATCATGTCACCCCAGTCCTTCTTTTCATTAAACTAAACATACTCAATTCCTTATAGGTTATCCACATTTCCTTCTGGAACCATGCAAGTAGCATTGCAAGTGGTTACAATGGCTGATTCACAGATTGGAGTCCAACTTTAGTATTTTCAATGCTAATAATTTTCTGAAACATTTTTTGTTGTTTGGTGCTGTGTTTGTAATGTTTTGTTTTTACATCTCTTGTCTTGGACTAAAATAAACATTATTTATCCCTCCAACTTCATCTCAGAAGAAGATGGTAGGAAATCATTTTTATATATTGATGCCACGGAGACTTGATGGATATGAAGGAGACTTTTTAAAGTCTATTTGAGATTCAACAACAATATAGTCATTCATCTGTATTATCTTCATGGCTGTTACCAGTGAACGTGTAATCTACTTGCTGCCAAAGTTGGGAGAAGATGATTGAAGAATTTTGAGGAATAGTGTTTTAACATGAAATATTTTCAAAAGTGGGGATTGAATAAATTTATTTATTTATTTTAAAATGCCAACTTTTTTCATTCCATGTGAACATTGGAAAATGTTTATTTTATGTTATTTTATTTTAAAATCTCCTCTCTATGGTTCATTTCTAATACACGCAACTATTTGCAGCAGCGAAAGAACCATATTTTCTGGGGACATCCAATATATATTAAAACTGAAGAATCTGTCACAAAAATAATTTGAAACCTAATTAGAAAGTGAAAAATGGTAGAATATAAAACCATTCATCCCAAACTTTTGGAAACTAAGTGCTCAAAAGTCTCTTTCTGTCATCATCATATTTTTTTTCAGATCTCAAACTCCTTGCAAATGTTAGAATTTCCTTGAAAAACAGATTGGATTATTAGCTGATTTCTACTATTGAGGCTGTCTATGGAGATTCTCAGTCGTCCAGGTCATGGTTGCTCCAAAAGTGCTTTTTCAAGAGGCAATTGGACATTCTGTTTTTTCTTTGAAGTCTTTTCACTGAAGAAGAGCTGAAGAAGCTTCTTGAATGAGAAGTGAAATGTCTTCAAAGAAAAACCAGAAACTCCAGTTGCCTCTTGAAAAAGCATTTTTGGGGCTCTACTGAAGCTCCAAACGTGTATTTGTGTGCGTTTATGTATTTACCGTATGTATTTACGTGGTGGTTCAGTGGCTAAGATCCTGAGCTTGTTGATCAGAAAGGTTGGCAGTTTGGCGGTTCAAATTCCTAGCACTGCATAACGGAGTGAGCTCCCATTACTTCTCCCAGCTTCTGCCAACATAGCAGTTCACAAGCATGTAAAAATGGAAGTAGAAAAATAGGGACCACATTGGTGGGAAGGTAACAGTGTTCCGAGTGCCTTCGGCATTTAATCATGGCGGCCACATGACCATGGAGACATCTTCGGACAGCGCTGGCTCTTTGGCTTTGTAACAGAGATGAGCACCATCCCCTAGAGCCAAAAATGATTAGCACGTATATGCGAGGGGAACCTTTACCTTGACCTTATGTATTTAGAAGTAAATCTCATTGCATTCAGACATTCACATATTTTGAAGTAAAGGTGAAGAAGAACCTAATATATATTTAGGTTCTGGTTTACAAATAGCAGGATGTAATATAATTGAAAGAGGCTGAACTAGGAAGGTCAACAAGCAAAGGGTGTAGGAGATGGCTAGGTGGAGCCCAAGGGAGGGATCAGTCCTGAATCCCTTTATGCCCACAAGAGATCAAAGTCCAGCCTCCATTGAATTCCGTTGACCCTTATTTACTGCCAATTTTCCTTGGCTATTAGTAGTTCAGATTCTTGTAGAGAATGTTAACATGTAATTTATTTATTTATTTTGTCTTTTAATGACCCCATAATCCCTTGCATTGGGGTGGAGTCAGGGCAACTGAATGGAGCTGAGTGTTTACTGGCCAGATGCCCTTCCTGTCACCAATGCAGAGTTCACAGGAGATGTATTCTCATTGCACCCAGAGAGAGAAATATCTGCCTCTACCTAGGATTGGAACCACAACCTCCTGCCACTCGGAATGTTAGCATGCAATAAACCTGTATTTATTTGAATTGCTTTGGTCCCTGATTTATTGCATTTGAAACAAGCCTGGTGAGTATGCACATGGGAACCTCCAGGTAATGTCAAAAGTTAAAAATAAAAGGAATGTTGAGGAAAAAGAAAAAAATAAATCTCATAAGAAGATAATATACTTCCATACTAATGCCAAGTAAACTATATGAACCTTGTTGATGAAATTACCAGATGTCCTGAAGGAGACATTTCCTTATTTCTAATGAAACGTGATCCATGATTTTCAAATTATGCTATTGATAGATCTCCTCTTCCAAAAAAGCTCTTGGTAACATTCTTGTAACATTTAACTCTAATCCATCCACGTCTACTTGGAAGTAAGTTATAGTGCATTTAGTGAGATTAATTCTCAAATGAGAATTAATTTCATACCTGTAGCTCTTGATGATTTTCTTTTTCCTGGAGAACTTTGTATTTTGGGGGAAAACGGATGTAAAGATAAATAGCATATGAATTAACAGCCATCAGCCTTGGGCCCACATCAAGGTGGCATTCATGTTCTTGATGATTTAGATCATCTCACCTGCCTTCTTCTTCTTCTTTTTTAAATTTGCCCCTTTCTTCCTCATGGTGGGATGTGTTAATTTCTTAAAGGTTATGAATCACCACTGACAGAACAATATTAAACTTTTATGACTACATGAAATTTTAAGCAGTGAGTGTTAAAACTTGGACTTGTTGGAAAGCAGTACTACAGTATAGAGAGCTACAGATTTTTATAGATACTCAGATAGAGAAATAAACATGGGGTTTGGATTAGAAGACCTCCAAGATCCTGTTCAACTGTGTTATTCTATTTGATTCTGTACATACATGATTGCTCATAGCTTCCCATGTATGTAATTTATCACTTAGAGAAAAAATAGTGCTTCCCGCCCCCCATCTCTGTGTTTTTTTTAATCATAGCTCCACACACAACTAAGAATTATTTTTGTATTCAAGCAAAGTGGTTGCCAGTTGCTGATCTTGGCTGATCTCAAAAACCAAAACTGGTTATTCTTGGATAAAACACACTAAGAAATCTTAAGGAATAAGACTAGACAAGAACCTGAAAATATTTCAGAAGACAGTTGTAAACCCTTTCCACATTTTGCCGAGAAAATAGCATGATTCTGCAGTCCATAAGACTTGATTTGAAACAGGCCACAAATTACTTCTTTTTGTCAAAGGTGTCTATGCACATAATGATTATCTATCTATCTATCTATCTATCTATCTATCTATCTATCTATCTATCTATCTATCTATCTATCTATCTACCATCTACCATCTACCATCTACCATCTATCATCTATCATCTATCATCTATCATCTATCTTGATACAAAGGGAAGGATTTTTTTTCTAATCCATCCAAATTTATTCATCCTAATGTAGAGGCTGCCCAACTTCTTATGGACTCTGTTGTTTCTTGGAGAAACAGTATTTAGAGGCAGGAATTGGTGCTAAGAGAATGAGTAAAGGATATGTAATGGGTAAAAGAATGTGTACATAGGATTGTCTGAATGAAAGACTATATGAGGTCATGTTACCTATGAGAAGGAATGTGAACATACAAATACATGTCTGTATGAAAGTATTCAACTAACAGGGAAAGAGATTTGAGAGGGAGAATGTTTAAGTGCTGCAGTGAGATTTTAAAAAGTGAATTACACATAATAAGATGCATGGAATATTCTGAGAGAGAATGAAATTCTATTCTATGGACTCAAGACTACAAGAAAAATAGCACTTCTTGAAAGTACCTTCAGAGTAGATGCTTAGTGTGCCTTTCTGTGAATATAGGTAGTCCTCTAGTTATAACAGTAACTGAGTCCCAAATTTTTGTTGCTAAATCAGTTGTTATATGAGGTTTCCCCCATTTTAAAACCTTTCTTGCCACTGTTGTTTAAGTGAATCATCGCAGTTATTAATTAGTAAATGCAATTGTTAGGTGACTCTGGCTATCCCATTGACTTTTCTTGTCAGAAGGTCAAAGAAGTTGATCACATGGGGTCTATGACAGCTTGCCACAGCCAACTTGTCATGGCCAACTCACCACAGGACAGAATTACACCAGAATTATAGCAAAGAAATAGTAGAATACAATCATCAAAGAAAGGATGCCAAAGGAGGGACAAAATGAAACATGAATGACAAAAATGAAAATCTTTTAAAATTATGTTAAATAATTACATTGGATTATTGAATTGTCCTGCAGCGAGTTGTCCCATGACAAGTTGGCCATATTGAGTTGTCCTGTGTTGAGTTGGCCATGGTGAGTTAAGCATGGCGAGTTGGCCATAGCGATTTAGCTATGGCAAGTCGTCCCATTCCAGGTCACATGATCCTGGGGCACTGCAACCATCATAAATACATGCCAGTAGACAAGTTACTTTGATCACAGCACCATGGAGATGTTGCAATAGTTGTAAGCCTGAACAATTGTCACTTTTTTCACAGCTGTTATAATTTCAAATGGTCATTAAGTTAACTGTTGCTAGTCAAGGACTACTTATACTTATTTCTTCTTTTTCTTCTTCCTCTCCTTCTCCTTTTGCCTCCTCCTTCCCCTCCCCCTCCTCCTCCCCCTCCTCCTCCTCCTCTTCCTCCTCTTCTTCTTCTTCCTTTCTTTCTTCCTTCCTTCCTCCTCCTCCTCCTCCTCCTCCTCCTCCTCCTCCTCCTCCTCCCCCTTCTTTTGAGGTTCAGATAAATCTACTTTCAGGTTTCAAGGCTAGGAAAAAAGCACTATGCAAATGGACAGCTGACAAGGATAGAGAAAAAATGCTTCATATTGGATGAAAATAAATTCCCTGTGCCTAATTTGATTATGATGTTAATGAATGTACTCTTAGACTATATTTGGATGTGTGATTTTTCAAACTTTACCAAGCTAATTTTAAGAAAGGAGGGGCCAAATTCCCAACTTGGATCTGTAGATAATTGAAAAGTGGGAGTCTTTTGTTAGCTCAGCTTATCAAAACAGAAATGTTGCATCTGGCAGCAGTAGGACCTGTTTGTCCAGAGAGATCCAGCAAATAAATAACCAAATTCAAATGTTGATAAATGGGATTTCTTCCCCCTCATCCCAAATGGCTGTCTTTGTTCAGATGTGTGGCTGCTGATAAAAACTACTAACTTGAATGACTGATTCTCTCCCCCCTTTTGAAAGTCCTCTCCTCGTCTCTTTCCATAGCACACCCAGGCATCCAAAGGTAGTCCTTGACTTCCAACCTCAATTGAACCCAATATTTCTGTTGCTAAGTGAGACCATTGTTGAGTTTTGCCCCCATTTTATGACCTTTCTTGGCACAGTTGCAAAGTGAATCACTGCAGTTGTTCAGTTAGTAACATGGCTGTTAAGTGAATCTGGCTTCCCCATTGATTTGGCTTGTCAGCAG